AACTTATTGAAATTTTAAAACTAAAGAAGACTTTATTTTATGCAATAAAGTCCAGTTTTCTCAAAATCACCAGTATGCGTTTATATTTCTATAATTATTTTAGTTGCGGAAAATATTCTGCATTGCGTCTTGGGACACAATCACGTAAGCAACCTTCAAAAACCAAGCCGTCAAGTCATCAGCAACTCCTACAAGATGAAAGCTCAAGAGAGGCCAGCAAAAATCATTCACCAAAAGATTGCAAATTCTTCTTTTAAAGAACACATGACAACAACGGACATCTCTTGCATTTGGAGGAATATGAGCAACGATCGTTTTCATTTTATGTAACCTGTACCTAAGACAATAGGAAAGCGCATCAAGCAATCCAACAGATGAATCTAAAGACAGACCGCGATAAATGTTTTGTGTTGGATAACGATTGGCAACAAAATATTATTATTCTTGGCATTCTTGAGAATTTAAGATACTTGGCGAAAGCAGATTTATTACCTGAATGGTACATTTCAATACGGTCCAAAATTTTTGGAGCGTAAGACAGCTAATTAAATGGGCATTACTTAATTAACTCGTTGCTTCAAAGAAGTTGGTGTCGTTTTAAATGCATTAAGACTTGTGGCTGATTTCGTAATTGCCCTTCGACCATTTATGAACAGAATTGGATGTTTATTTTACTTGACTTGAGTTGGTTTCGCAAAATCCAAAAACTTGTTGCTAACCACTTACAAGAGGGAAGATTAAAATGGCAAGTGGCTACACCACTTATTTGGCTGGCCATATTTGGACCCAGAAGGAGTCGGCGTTTTTTTTTGTTAACGATTTCATGCGGATGTCCCCAACCTGCCTTCATTTATGAAAATGTCTGATTATATGGTAGAGAAATACGCAAGTATTGTCTCTTTTCCCTCTGGGCAACCCAGGCTAGCCAAATACACTTCACCACAAATTCATGCGAATTCTTTCATTTTAATTTTTCCAACCGTTTTTACCATTTTTATCCCAATATACTCATTTTTGTATCTACGCTTCTACTAAACTGCGGAGTTTACATGTTCCTGTTCTGTTTTCACAGGATAATGTTTCTTTAAGTAGGCTTTAACCGTTTATAAAAGACAGTAGACTGTACTTCGAAAACCCACGCAACTGAATTTTTAAATCTCAAAACCGCTTAGATTGGCAAATACGTCGAATATGTCGAATTGGCAAATACGTTCGTAAAGAAATCGATATTAATATATATATTTTAAAGCAATTTGCTTAAAATAATTTCTGAATTTAATAAATTACCACATAAACGAGACAGGTGTAACAGGTAATTGGCAATCTTCTGCATTAGAAACCAGCGCCTTGGGACAAAAATACTGGTGATGAGTTTACCTATCTGCGGTGATGAGTTTACCTATCTCCAAAGGATGCCGGTGATCAGTTTACTATATCTCGGAGGGTCTAATAATTTTATGGGGGGCTATAAAGTGATGAGTTCGTACACGTCCTAGAAACTACCCTCTATGTCGGTCTATGGACCGGTGATATCTCCATTGTTTATTACGGAACAGAAGTTTATAAAAAACTAGAATATTTATTGAAAAAATAACTACATTTTTGTACTCAAGAAATTTTCAAAGTAGGCGATACAATTTATTATAACTTTTTCAAAAATATCGCATTTTAAACTAGTCAAACTCAAAATGTATTGTAGAAGAAAAACGATTAATTTTTATTCTGGTGGATATTAAGTTAATTATTTTGCCTTTTTCCCTAAAATATCCGAAGATTCCATATTTTACGACTTGTAACTTTCTCGGTTTACATGCAAATAACTTTTTGTAGTACTGGTTTTCAAGCTTTTCGGTCTTTTAAAGCTGATCTTTTCATGAACTATATAAACTTTGATATTATTACCCTCGAAAAATCACTCCTTTTGTTACAATTTAACGTTTAATATATTGATCCAAATATTTGCCAAAAAATATCTCTTTTCACCTACCATATTTCAGTTGTATTGTATATAGAGTATCCGGTAAGAAATGAATCTCATTCTTCTTTTATAAGCTTTAGTTTTTGTTTTGCATACTATTTCGATCAAACAGTACTGCGTTTCGGAAAAAACTTTATCGAACAAAAGTTGCTTAGAATTTAATCCTCTATCGATTTCTGTGATTATTTTGAGCAAAATCATTTCCAGGCGACCATCAGTGGGGCGGAAGCACAAATCAGCGTTATATAACTTTTGTTATTTGAGCACTTTCCCATCAACTCACCAAATTTCAAGTGAATTAGTCTAAAAAAAATTGGGAGGTGAATAGCCGAGTGCATTTTTGAGGAATTACTTCACTGCAGATATTTTGCGTCAAATAAATACCAGCTATTTTGCAATTTTTTATAATTTTTTTCTCATACTTTTTATACTGTCAGAAATAATTGGGTGATAAATAAACGAAAACAACAAAACATGATATACTCAGTGGCAAAGTTTAAATTAATTGAACAACATTTATATATATATATATATATATATATATATATATATATATATATATATGTATATATATATATATATATATATATATATATATATATATATAATCGAAAACCTCTCTACCCTAAGGTGTGAGGTAAATACAATACAATACAATTACAGGTTACAGATATACATTACATCTCAAATCCAATGAAAATATTTATTCTATTAAATTTATTCTATTCTGTGCACGAATTTTGTCCATTCTTTCTTGTTTTTTGCCTTATTTTGAGCTTCTGACCATTCCAATCCCCTACTTTTCAAAATCTGCCCTACTTCGTCATCCCAGGTTTTCCGTGGTCTGCCTCTAATTTTAAACCTTTTCACTTTAGCCTTCCAGACTTGCTTAACGGGTCGGTTGTCGCTCATTCTGCACAAATGACCAAACCATTTTATTTGTTGTGTTTCAATAGCATGTAGTACTGATTCTGTGCCCAGTTCTTCTCTAACATCTTCATTTCTTATTTTGTCTCGTCGTGTTATTCCTTTGACTCGTCTTAGATATTTCATATCAATGGCTTGTATCTTGCTTTTTAATTGCTTTGTTAAAACCCAGCTCTCGCTTCCATATATCAAGATTGGTCGGAATACTGTCTTATAAACTGTCATTTTGGTTCTTCTGCTGATTTCCGGTTTACCTATGAATGCTCTACTAAGATTATGGTACACTTTTGAAGCACTACTGATTCTTTCTGTTATTTCATTCTGCATGGTACCTTCTCTGTCTATTGTAACCCCTAGGTATTTGAATGCATCTACTTGTTCTATGAGTTGTTGGTTAATTTCTATGTTAACATTTCGGTTAGTTTTCGCTATTAGCATCACCTTGGTTTTCTTAACATTAATCTTCATGTTTCTGATTGCCAGCTCATTATTCCAGGTATCTATATTTTTCTGGAGGTCCCTTTCGTTGGAAGCGCATAACATGAGATCATCTGCGAATGCACACTCAGCTATACCAACCGGTCGTAGTTTACTATATCCGATATGTACTTTGTGTATACTTACTTTTGTTTCCTTAATTATGTCGTCAATAATCAATATGAATAGTGTGGGGCTCATAACACCTCCTTGTCTTAGACCCTCGTTTATTGCAAACATCTCTGATTCCAAGTTATCCTTACGTACATAACTCTTGTTATTTTGATACAGACTTTTGATAGCACCTGTTAGTTGATGGTCAATATTTCTATTTTGCAGACTTTTCCAGACTGCTTCCTGGGACACTCTGTCAAATGCTTTCTCAATATCTAGAAAAGCCATATATATTTCTGTGTTCTTTATTCTAGCCATCTCAATTATTTGTTTTAACGTAAATATATGGTCTTGCGTACTGTGTCCCTTCCTAAACCCACTTTGTACTTCATCCAGATGTGGTTCAACGATGTGTCTTAATTTCTTTTCTAGGATGCTTTCATATATTTTGGAGACGATACTAAGTAGATTAATTCCTCTATAATTTTCACAAGAACTTGGGTCTCCTTTCTTAAAGATTGGTAGTATTATGCCAATTCTCCAATCTTCGGGGACTGTACATCGGTTCCAAGCCATGTTCATAATTTTGGTTAAAAATTCAACTCCTTTCGGTCCCATTGTCTTTAACATTTCTGCAGTGATTTTGTCATGACCAGCCGATTTACCTCTCTTTGTGTTGTTAATTGCTTCTTTAACTTCTTCTATTTGAATATAATTTTCTTGCCCATGTTCTCCTTCTACTTCTATCATTACAGTTTCTTCTTTAGGCTGTCTTGGTGTTAGGAGTTCGCTGAAGTATTGTCTCCATCTTTCCATAATCTCATTTGGTCTGGTAATCAGTGCGCCGTCTTTACTTTTCACCTGTTTCATCGTTGTTTCTTTACCTTTTCTTAGCGTCTTTAGTGCCTTGTAAAACAATTTTTATACATTTCCTCAAATATTTCATAAAGTGATTAGAGAATATGTAATAGCTGAATTATGTACCTTTAATTTTTTCTCTTAAAGGACGATTCATTTCTTCAAATAAATATAGGGTGTCCCATTAAAAAAAGCTCGATGGCCTTAAACAAATATACCGGAAAAATTAGAGTCCAACAAAAAAATTACAATTTGAATTAAAAATCGACCTGTTTTTTGTGTTGTTTGTATTTAAAACTCAACAGTTCAGTTCATAAAACACATGAATTTTATGCGTAAATTTTGGGACACGGTGTATATCCTTACTGTCCTGCATTACCGACAATTATTGCGTGAAAACAGTGAATTGTTCCATATCAAAGTATGAATTAGCGTAGTTCCCAAAACCCAAAAGTATTCAATGTTTTCTTGGTGCGTTTTGTGAAAGTCATCATCGCCGTCAACAACCCGAGCCCGCGATTAGATTATGGAGGCGGAGCGATGTTCTGCATGTGTATTGGACCTTCGCTCGCTCGCTCAGTCTCAGTGTTGTGTGGTAATCGTAATTGTACAAATATGAGAATCGTTTGAAAAAACTCGTGGTCCGGTACGTCAGTAATTGTGATAATTGTTCTAGTCACAGTTTAGTGTTTATTTATTATTTGCTGTGATACTAATGGTTCAGTATAAGGATACTATTGTCGATAACGTACGGTATGTTAAGTTTTACATGTTTATATAAAGCTATATGCTTTTAAGTACACTAGTCCTTAGAAATATATATGTATAATGTTTGAAACTATTTTGTATTCCTGATAATATATGCCTAATAAGCAGCAAACATTAATCTGTGATTACAGACTTTTATTGAGACTTTTCTTCTTTTACATTAATGCCGTTAGTTTTATCGCAAGTACACTTTAATCCTGTTTTTCCAAATTTACTTTTCATGTCTTCAATATTTTTAGTAATGAAATAGCGCCAGTTTGATGAAGACACAGTGTAAAATATCTTTAAGTGAAAATCCTCACATAATTTCATTTCAAAGTCTGAATGTCTGAAATAGTTCGGTCACTTCCATAGACGATGCATGTAACTGACAAAATAAAATTTAAAAAGGCGCAAGCTGAAGTTAGACACTTAATTTGTTTGGACAAAAGAGAAATGGGAGAGGACATGCCCTGAAAAAATCATATATGGGAGATAGAAGTATAGAAAGTTGAAAAGAGGACATGCCCTCGAAAAATCATATATGGGAGGTAGAAGTAAAGATAGTTGAAAACTACTAAAAACACGAGAAAAGAAACTAACGTATTTGGAACTAGGGCACTCTAGCAGTTACCACTATATTGGTTCGAGACGAGAAGATTCGACAGCACCCTCTTTATTATTATTATGTTGCTAAAGTCCTTCTTAAGCCTCAAGAGACAGAACCCTCTGTCATCATTATTTACAATAAGAAAAAACTTAAAGCAGCATGGGCAGGACAGGACTGGCTCAAAAAAGGCGCCAACCTCAACTCCAAACCGAAGGCGCCAGACCTCGCTTCTAAGATTTTTAAAGCAAACTTTTTAAAATCCTAATGCATGTAAAGTAAATCAGTATAAGCGATTTTTTTTTAAATTGAATTTTGATTTAAATCCATAAATTTAATATCATCAAGTACTCCCTGATACTCCAATAAATTTTTAAAAAGTGTGGGTGATTTTTCAAGTGCTTCTAGTGGGTTCTAAGGCTCCATAAAAATATTGTCGAAAATGGGCGTATTTTATGATTATGAAAATCATTGAAAAAAAAGAACAATTTTATTGTATAAATCATTAATTTTTTTTTGGAATCTAAAAACGATGAGTGGCCGAAAAAAATTCGATTTTCCTGTAAATTTAGGGGCCCAAAAACATTATGTTATAAATTATATTCGTATACCCAATAGTTGCAAGAACAGTAAATAGTAAATTAAAACAAAATTCACAATGGCTGTCAATTTAGTGGCCCAAAAACAGTGACTGTGGCCCAAAATCAACAAAATCTACAACTTCAACTACACAGTGAAGACCCAACAAGAGAAGAAGTGTCAAATGCGACCCTAAAACTCAAAGACAATAAAGCCCCAGGAATCGATGAAATCTGTTCGGAAATGTATAAAAAAAGGTGATGATCAACTTTTTGCAGCAATCCATAAACTAATAGTACTATAGAGGCATTACTCTGTTAGCATTTGCGTATAAAATCTTCAGCAATGTATTATTTGAAATACTTATTCATTTTACAAAGAATATTGTTGGTCAACTACACATAAAATTCAAGCACACAGGCATATTCTAGAAAAGTCATTAGAATATAACATAGATACACACCATCTCTTCATTGACTTCAAAGCTGTCTATAACAGTATGAAAATAACTGCATTATATAATGCAATGATAGACTTTTTGATCCCACCTAAGTTAGTTAAGTTGACCCAACTAACAATGCAAAACGTAAGTTCATGCGTTAGAATTGAAGGAGAAAACTCTACGTTTTTGACAATAATAATGATCTAAGGCAGACAAGTAAATATTAGAATGAATGGAACTATTTTTAATAGATCGACGCAAATTCTCGCATTCGCTGACGATATAGTTATAGTAGGCAGAAGTATGAGAGACATAGTGCAGTGTTTTACAAGGCTTGCGGGCGTAGCAAGTGAATTAGGACTTGTGCTACACGAGGAAAAACCCAAATATATGTTGGTTTCTAAAAACCCTCGAAATATCCAACAGAGGATTCAAATTAATAACCATACCTTTGAACAAGTCAAAAATTTACATATCTTGGATCGCTAGTAAACGCAACAAACACGACAAGCGACGAAATAAAAAGACGCATAGCAATAGCAACAGAACTGTTCACGGTCTCCAGAAACATTTAAAAAATAAAAATATAAAACGTGCAGTAAAGCTTAATATATACAAGACGTTAATAAGACCGGTTTTGATATATGGGACTGAAACGTGGACCTTATCTCAAAATGATGAAAGACTTCTTGGTATTTTTGAGAGAAAAATTCTTGGAAAGATTTTGGCGCCGTAAATGAAAATGGGCTATGGCGTCGAAGATACAACTTTGAACTATATCAGTTATACACCGATCCAGATATTGTGAAATTCGTTAAAGTGTAGAGACTTAGATGGGCTGGACACATTGCTAGGATGTCAGATCACGAATACACGAAGAGATTAACATTTTCAAAACCAGAGGGCACAAGAAGCAGAGGACGACCACGAACGAGATGGATTGATGATGTGGAAGAAAACCTACAGATTCTAAGGGTTAGAAGATGGAGAGAAATTGCCAGGAATCGACAGAAGTGGCGACTTTTTGTGAGCAGGCCAACATCCGCAACGTATTGTCGGGCGACTTATGATGATGATGATGAAAAAATAATGAAAAACTAAATTAAACCCTAAAATTCACAGGTACTGAGTATATCGTTTGAATTCATTATTCATTGTTTTTTGGATCTCTAAATGTGCGGCCATCGGGCAATATAGATTTAGTCTCTTTACTACTGTTTTTGAACGGCTTTAATATGCAGCCATTGAATATGTTAGTTTAATTTTCTACTCATTAATTTACTTTTTGCCATGCATCCACTTAAAGTAGTCACTTTAGGCCGGCGCACGAAGGCGCACTTGAGGTCAAGGTTTGACAAAAAAAAATAGCATAATATGCTATTTTTCAGTAAACAAATAATGCCCTTTATCGGCTTCGCCTCGGTCGCTAATTTACCTGCGATTTACCCGCCATTCTTTATTTTTACTCTATCGTGACATAATGTACTATATCTATGTTTTTGAAGCCCTTAAAAAAATAACGCTATTTTGTATGTGGATTTAATTTATTTATCTATGCTTTTGACCCCAATAGGCCTTTTCATCACAAATAATGTTACCCTTTTTGTGCACTGTTTGCTGTAAACAAGCACGTTAGGTTAGGTTAGTAATATAAATAACAATAAAGTATGTGATAACAAAATTAAGATAAAGAAATACTAAAGAAGGTGTAGTAATTAAAAAGATATATGAAAAGAAAACAAAAATTGCCTCAATTAGCAAATCAATTTTTTAATCTATTTTATTATGATACCTGCCCGAAAAGGAACAACAAAGCAGTGTCGTTATAGAGTATAAGAGTGATACACGCTATAAATCTAGAAAATACATATTATGTTATAAATTTTCCAAAGACAAAAATTTCTTTATAAAAAATCGTGTACATGCGTTTACATTTTTAGACTTAAAATATTAAATTATCTATTTGATTGATTATATACTATAATAATATTGTTGATTATATTTTTTGACGAGTAATGAACATCGATTGACTTTATCAATTAGAATAAAAAATTATAGTTATTATTTGTATAGTAAACAATTCACAAAAATATCTCTATGACAAGTAATGGTGCCTAATCTCTAAAACTTGTTGATCAAAACAGTACGAAATACGCGGCGGCTGCGCATGCGCTCGTCACACGATGAAACAGCAATCGTCTAAACTCTTTCAAAAAGGACGGCATTAAAAATAGAGCATGCAGCAAATATGATAATCATTATCAAATAAAATAAGGAATACAAAATGTATAAAAGAAAGATAAAATTAAAGTACAGAATTTGCTGTAATACTTTCAGACCCAATAAATTTCACATATTATATTATCTACTTAGAAATCATACTATTCGTGGAATCACTAAATTCTGTTTATGTGATTTCCCGTCGGAAACTAGAGTGGTGAAATTTCACGAACTGCGAATTACGTCGGGAAACTACCTGGGCTAAAGTATGTATTGGCGTCGCCCATCGGGTGATTTTTGGTTTCTAGTTTGTCTTTCTCTAACTGTTTATGTCATTCCCCGTCGATGACTAGAGTGGTGGTATTTCACAAAGGGCGAATTACGTCAGGGATCCACCTGGACTAAAATATCTTAATACTTTGATATTCTTACCCTTCTTACCATAAATACAACTATAAAATACTTGTGCAGAAGGGGCAAAAATAATTATATTAAAAACATATGTGTACAACTAGAGCATCGGTCGGGGAACCGGGGTAAATTACCCCAAATGGGGTAAAAATGAAATTTTTGGGGGTAAAAATGAAACTTGTGAGTAAAAAGTATATATTTTAATTTGATTTTTTATAAACCTGTTTTGCATGCACCGAAATTTTTTTGTATTATTTGTGAAAGATAAATTACATTTTCCTACTATCCTTTGTAAATTTTTTATATGCCCTGGGAGGAATTTTAAACCCCAAAACCCCCTGGGTGCGCCCATTGACGAGTTAGAGAGTTATAGTTAGTTGCTGACAATCATTAATCATCGATATATCGATCAAGGTAAGCCCCAATTTGAAAATTTAATTTAAGTATTTTACAACTATTATTTTCTGTCTCCTTCAGATGGCAGCAAATAGAAAAAGAAAATATCAAGACGAATTACTTAATTACGGTTTTACACAAATAGAAGACAATGGTACAATGAAACCACAGTGTGTTGTATGTATGAAGGTATTGACTTCAGAATCTTTCAAAAAAAGTCAACTGAAGAAACATTTAGATAATTTGCATTCACACCTGTCTTCCAAACCGCGAGAATACTTTGCAAATTTAGAAATATCTGTTAAAAGACAAAGATTGAATAGCAACTTGTTTAGTACATTTGATCAGCGT